CATACAAGAGGTTTCCTATTCACGCAGTCTTTATATCTCTCTATAATATCTTTTATCTGTAAGCATTTACTCCAAGCCTTGAGCTAGGTACATGGGGTGTTAAAGTTACTAGTATTGATCCACAGAGAACTCTCATTCTAGTGCAGGAATAAAGGGGCTTGGGGTAAAATAAAAAGAGAATGGCCTCTGCTTGAGAACTATGGGTGTTTGAGAGAGCTTGGTGAAAGCCTCACAAAGGAGGTGACATTTGAATTGTTTTTCCGGGTAAGTTAAGGTCTCCATGTACTCATAGAACAAAAGTTGGGGACCTGCTGAAGCATTTTGTCTCATTTACAACATTCTCTGGAGTGTCCTGGGTTTAGAAAGGAACTGAAAGATGAAGCTGGTAGCATATTTTGGAATGATCCTCACTTAGATGCAGAGGAGGTAAACCATGATACTACCTAAAATTATTTTGCAAATGTGGTCTGCAGCCTCACAGACTTTCATAAAATATATCCATCTCTGCACAATCCTTCTTGTGAATTACCAGAAATCTTGCTGAACATTGCTTCCCCTTGACCACCACAGGAATGTAATCTGAAAATAAAAACTCATTTAATATCAGTCAAAGGAATGCACAATCAGGAAGATAAATCTGGAACAAATCAGAGCAGCTCCTCTCTTTTCCACAAGTGTGTGGAGCACGATAGGACTAATGTCTGATCAAGGCGAGTAGGAGTGATGTGTGGGTGGCTCTTTATATGCACCAGTGGGGTGGCTTAAGGCACCTTGATGTGATCTGTGCATTTGGATCTGGGAGCTATGTGGTGGTGATATTCATGGCTGCTAATTGTACCCCAGATCGGTGAAATAATTTGCGAGTTTTGGCTTATCTTCATTAGTGAAGCCGACCCAAAATGTGAACATAGTTTTCTAATTTTTAATGTTTAATGTATTTTGATTAAACAGTGATGTCCCATTGTGGAAAATGGTAATAAGCATATAAAGAATAGAAGAAAATTAAGAGTACAAGGGTAAAAATAATCACCTACAATACAAGAAACTCAATGACCTGAGCATGTTGGTATACTTATTTTTAAATTAAAATTATTAAAATGGTTAAATTTATTAAAATGACTTTAAAAGCTATCACATTTGATTGTGTCTACTACTTCCATTAAACATTCTCAGACAAGAACATTTTTCTCACTGTCGTATCATTACTTCTATTTTGTTTTTATTCCCAGAGTAGATCGTCCAGGTTTTCAGGAAGGGGGAGGTGTATCATTCGTGCAGTAATCTCATTTTAGTTAGTTTTAATACGTTGACACTGCAAGACTCACTTGTCTAGGTTTTTGTCCTGTCCTTCATCTCTCTAATTCCAGCACCATATCTCTAATTCTAGGCAGAATTTGGCATACATTGTGTACACCATGAATACTAATGACTGGATCAAAGAATGAATGGATGGATGTGGATTTTTATTTATCTTCTTCACCCAAAATTCATTAAGTCCATCCTAAAGTCAGGTCCAGGTTAGGCAAATAGAACATAAATAGCCATAACTGATAAAAAGCCAAACTTCCCAGGCTACAAGTGCAGAGACCAGTCAAACTCTTACCAGGCATGCATGGCTTGGGTCGGGGTCCGAGAAGGCTCTATCTCTCTACCACAGAGGACCATTATGGAACTCCTGAAGGCATTCTTTGACAAGGGGCCCTGGAGCTTTCCGCTGCTGGCTTCCTCCTCACTGGTCTGCTCAGGGGCAGAGTGGTGTCTGCATGGAGAAAGGGTGCCACGGCTACCACCCATCGGGTAAAAGCAGCTCTCCACAAATGGAAAACCCAGATATGTCTCAGTTCTGACCAGAATTAGTTTGAAAGCTGCTCTGAGAGAATGTTTCTT